TGAAACTACTTTTAAGGAAATATGCTCTGAATGAGTCTCGGCGGCGTAGCGTTATGGAGCAAAGGCCCGCCGGAATCCCCTTTGGCATATCCTGAAGACCTTACACGCTGCCTCGCCGTTGATTGCGCTGAGCTGTCATTACTTGCATTGCGCTGATCAACTAAGTACGCTATAAGCTGAGCCTTAGTTAGTGAACAGGAAAGCTGCAATCAGTGAGGTAATGCTGACCTTAGAGCAACGATGCGTTTTTCAAGTTCAATAATTTTATTTTCCAAAAATATTGGCTTAGATTCAATTCAAAATTCAGTGACATAAATATTTTCATACAAAAATCCATACATATATAAATTATATTCAATCTATTAAATAGCCTTGTCCGATGTTATATGGATATCTTCCTGAAACATCAATCACTACATTATTATTAAATTGTTGTTGGATTTGTTATTGAAATTTTGAGTGATGACATGTTAAAGCTATCGAATTTGATTTCATAAGACTTCAGGTTCACTCTCATGTGTTGGTCAACCTGATGCTCACTTTTTGAAGTCGCATTTCCTTCTATATTTTCAATATTCAATTCACTTATTAGGATGTTGCTCGTAACTGCAAATAACATGCGCTGCAACGCTTAGGTTCTTCTGCCTGAAAGCAGAAGAATGTAAGCATTTTACCTAAATGAGTTCTATACTCCCATGGCACTTTTCCGTCTATTTCTGTTGTTATGCTGCGCAGCTATAGTTGCAAAATTCTTGTCTCTGTTTTAGGAAGGACCTATCAGCTAAATCATACTATATGGGTAGTACGCTTATGCTTCAAGTTTGTTGTAGTTACAAATCCAAGCCCCTCAAAGCTTCTCTTTGGTCACGTGCAGGTTCAAAACCATATCAGTTGTGTCTCTTAGGGCTCTGAGACATTGTCTGGGAAAGTTTTTACCTCTTCTATGGAAGTTAGTACACAATAAAAAATGAAAACTTCTACTTGTATGGAGTCTAATGCAAATATGCCCATGATGACAAAAGTCGCGCCACGGAAAGGCATAGTTCTTTCTATGACAACAGAACATCCCAGATTTGGCGACAGATCATGTCAGCTTCGATCATTTAGGAGAAAAGGTGAGCGTTTTCTGTTTGTTCTTCACTCTTTCGCACACATTCTCAGCTTCTAAATTAAAATGATTTTGCGCCTCACCTGCTGTTTTCGGGAGTAGTCACGTTTTTGGTTTATTTCCAGATGAGTGTAGTAACGTTAGTGCAGGAGTTATCAGTAACAAACTTTCAGTTTGATTGTCTTGGATTATTGGTTTTTCGTTTTCATGTTATTCAGAGCTATATATTTTTGTACCTACCTTTATGCAACAAAGGACTTTTTATAAATGTTGGAAACTTATCGCCATAAGCAGAACACATAACATAATGTGCAGTAAACGAATG